GGGTGTCAGGCAAGCCGACGCTTGAGGCCTGGCTCTGACACAGTTGTGGCAATGGCCTGGATACAACCATTTTGAAGGGTACCAGCCAGTCAAATCGAACCCCAAATTTAAATTTGTTAAAATAACTTTTTGCAAAACATTAGGATGGAGAGCAATGTTTCCCTGTGTTTGTTTTTTTTAAATTCCACGTGGGAAGGGTTTATTTTTTCACTAGGAAATATTCCCCATAGGATTTGTGGTGCTGACTGGGAGACAGGAGCCAGAAAGCTCCACTCCTGAATGGAAGTGACCCCAAAGGTGATCCTGCGACTGTCATGTCACCTCACACAGTCTTGCTTACCTCCTGGCAAAAGAGAGGCAGCAGCATGTATGGCTGTGGAGGGTCGAGGGTGCCCAGGGTGCCTGCAGCCACTGCTGCAGGGATGCTCAGCCCCAGGGCTACCTGGGTGAGATCCTGTGGCTGTTGGATCTAAATCTGGACAGGTAGTGCGGTTATATTTGCACGGTTGAAGGTAAATGCAATGAAAATTCTTACACTGCAAGCAGGTTAGTGGAGAACCTTGGGAAAAGACCATCAGCAATTTTATTTCTCCTTGGCTCTGGTAATGCACAGGTACCTTTTATGGGAATAGAGATAGAATGAATAGAATCATACAATCGTTTTTGTTGGAAGGGAACTTAAAGATCACAGAATCACACAATTGTCATGGTTGGAAAGCACCTCTGAAATCACCAAGTCCAGCCATCAACAACAACAAAAACCTAACAAACACAACCACACGCATTCCACCAGAAAACACCCACCAAAAAAAGCCCAAAACACCAAACAAACAAAAAACAACCAAACAAAAAACCCCAACAAAACAACCCCACCCTCCCCCCTACAACCTTGGCCACTAGAGCATGCCCTCAAGTGCCACACCTATGCGTTTCTTGAATACCTCCAAGGATGGTGAATCAACCACCTCTCTGGGCAGGCTGTTCCAGTGTCTGACCACTCTTTCAGTATAGAAATTCTTCCTAATATCCAATCTGACCCTCCGCTGCCACAACTTCAGGCCATTTCCTCTAGTTCTGTTGTTATTTAATTGGGAGAAGAGGCCAACATTCACCTCCCTACAACCTCCTTTCAGGAGGGCAATGAGGTGTCTTCTCAGCTTCCTACAAACTAAACATCCCCAGTTCCCTCAGCTGCTCCTCATTACTTGTTCTCTAGACCCTTCACCAGCTTGGTAGCTCACCTCTGGACACGCTCCAATGTGCACCTCAATGTGCTTCATATAGTGAGGGGCCCAAAACTGAACACGGTACTCGTGGTACTGTGTGGCCTCACCAGTGCTGAGTACTGGGGCATGATCACTTCCCTACTCCTGCTGGCCACGCTATTCCTGATGCAGGCTAGGATGCTTTCTTGGCCACCTGGGCACACTGCTGTCTCATGTTAAGCCAGCTCTTCACCAGCACCCCCACGTCCTTTTCCTGCTGGGCAGCTCTCCAGCTGTTCTTCCCGAAGCCTGTAGCATTGCCTGAGGTTTTTGTGACTGAAATGTAGGATCTGGCACTTGGCCTTATTGAACCTCATATAATTGGTATTGGCTCATCAATCCAGCCTGTCCAGGTCCTGCTGCAGTGCCTTCTTACCCTCTAGCAGATCAACACTTCCACCCAAGTTGGTGTCATCTGCAAACTTGCTGAGGGTGCACTCAATCCCCTCATCCAGATAATTGATAAAGATATTGAAGAAGATTGGCCCCAAAACTGAGCCCTGAGGAACACCACTGGTGACTGGCACCAACTAGTTTTGACCCTGATTACCACAACTCTCTGGGCCTGGCCATCTACCCAGATTTTTACCCAGTGAAGAGTACACCTGTCTATGCCATGATTCACCAGCTTCTCCAGGAGAATGTTGTGGGAGGTGGTATCAAAGTCCAGGTAGACAATGTCCACAGCCTTCTTCTCATCCAATAGGTGGGTCACATGGTCATAGAAAGAGATCAGATTGGTCAAACAAGACCTCCCTTTCATAAACCCATGCTGGCTGGCCCTGATCCCCTGGCTGCTCTGCATTTGCCATGTGAGCTCACTCAAGATGAGCCTTTCCATAACCTTTCCTCATACTGAAGCGAGGCTGAAAGGCCTTTAGTTCCCTGAATCCTCCTTCCGGCCCTTCTTGTAGATGGGCGTCACATTAGCCACCCTCCAGTCATCTGGGACCACCCTTGTTGACCAGGATTGTTGATAAATGATGGAGAGAGGCTTCACAAGCTTCCCTGCCAGCTCCCTCAGCACTCTACGGTAGATCCCATCAAGCCCCAGAGACTTGTGAGTGTCTAGGTGCAGAAGCAGATCATCTAGTTTCAACCCCCCTGCCATGGTCAGGGACACCTCCCACTAGATCGTGTTGCTCCAAGCCCCATCCAACTTGGCCTTGAACACTTCTAGGGATAGGGCATCTACAGCTTCCCTGGACAACTTGTTCCAGTGTCTTGCCACCCTCAGAGTGAAGGATTTCTTCCTAATTTCTAGCCTAAATCTACACTCTAGCAGTCTGTTCTTCTCTGGCATGTGGCTCCTGCCAGATTCTTCCTGATTCATAGTGTAGGAGTGGCTGTTATCACTTGTTTGTGTTATGTTGGTTTATATTATCCCAAAAATTGAATGCTATAGGGATTTATAAAACTAACTGAAGGGGGAAAAAAACACAACAAAAAAACCCCCAAACAAACAAAAAACCAAACTGACAACCAAAACCAGCAACAACAAATAAAAAATGCTGGAAGTCCAAGTGTTGCTTCTTCTACCCCTAGGTAACAAAATAGTCACAAGTACTTAATGCAAAAATAGGCAGCAGGGAAATGGGCCTGGTGAGCACATGAGGAAAGAAGTGGAGATCAGGACAGGCTGGCCTCTATTTACTAGATCTGGCTGAAAACAAAAGACAAAAAAATGGCACTTTGAAGTGCTTGCTTCTTGGTCCCGTTACTGGAGCAGAGGAAGAGCACAGTGGTTTAATCTTATTTGCAGTTAAATGCTTTGATCTGATCCCATTTTATTCTCTCCTCCCATGTATTGCTTTGCAGCTGTGGGGCCATGAGGGACAGAAAACTCCTCTTGCTTTGCCACCTGAGAGGGGTGGGAGAAGTCATGGTGGTGTAATGAAAACACATTGCTCATACATGTGGATTTCTAAGGCTCAGCAGCTCAAGGGTTAATGGGGCTTCCCCACTTTCAGCTGACGTGTTGATATAAAGGCTTATCTGCAAGCAAGTGCTTGCTCTTCTTAAGATAGGAACCACAGATGGGGTGTAACAGCTTCTCCTGTTCCACCTCTGTAGCTTCATCTTGTCATACCTGGCTGGGGCAACTAAAGGAGAAGGAGGCGTGGCTATTACAGGACAACTTCTTTGTGCAGAGAACACCTCCTCAGGCTTAGAAATCATCCCCCATCCTTGGGATACCTGAATACTTTCACAAACACTGCCTCCAAAGAATGGGGAAAAGGTGCAGCAGTCTGGGTACACACCTCACCCAAGAAACAGTATGCACTGCTGGGGAGGCAGGGTTTAAGCCACTCTTGATCCAGCAAGGTACCCAACTGCAGTTGATGGTTCTGGTTAATCACACAAAGAAATCTCGCTCTGCCATAGAGCCAAAGCAAACAATAAAAGCACCAATCCCTAGGCCTTCTGATGGGCATTGGCCAGGGCCAGAGGCCAATGTTCTCATCAAGCCACTGGGAAGTAATCCACGCCATCAGCACATACATGCCTGGGGATTTTTGTTCATTTGTTGTTTTGGTTTGGTTTTGTTTGTTTGTTTTTCCCCCCAGAAGGCTATCTAGGTGGAACCATGAAACTATCTGCCCCTGCCAGCTGGGATGGCAAGACAGACATCCAGAGAACACAGGCAAAGAGTTGAGCTGAGCTGCTGTGGCTCAGCTACTGTGGCTGTGGGAGCCCTGCAGTGCAGTCAGAGGAGAGGGCGAGCCCCAGTCCTGTCCCTAGGTCTCCTTTGGGGGCTAGAGTGTGTCAAGGATTAGACATTTAAAGGAACATGCTTTCCAAGGAGTGGACAACCTTGGACCTCAAGCCCTGATGAATGTAGGAGGGCATTTAGAGAGATGATTCAATGTGCCTGGTGAGCGAGGGACTTGAGGGGCTTGTGGATTTTTTCTTGACTGCTTTTCAAGAACAAGACCAGGAAACCCTTAGCAAGTATGTGTATGTCTGAGTTTCTGATGAAACATCCCAGGGAACTGAGCCGTGGCCCCATATCAGCTCCCGTGTTTGTTCACCTCCCAGCTGGACACAGTGGGAGATGAGACACTTGGGTCAGGCAGTAAAGTTAATTTTAAGAGACCTTGCAATATTGATCAGCATTGCCTGAAGCACCCTGCCCCTTTCCTTCGCCCAGAGTGGTCTCCCAGCCCTTGCAAGTTCCACCAGGCATTACATTGTTCAGCTTCAAAAAAGTAAAGTCTTGGTGGTCTCTTAGGGCAGAAAATTAGCCAAGACAGTAAGCATGAGCATGTGCAGGCTGGGGTACTTGGTTGTCTTACTTCTCTCCATGGATCCCAAACCTCATTGTCAGGGGGCTTGATGGGGGAGAAGGGACTGTGTGCACGGAGTCCACTCTGCTGCCTCCTTCCCATTAAGCTTGTGAAAGGTCACTGGTGGACCATTGCAGTGAGCTCACCTACACTCACCTGAATTTCCATGCATCTGCAGGGGCTGTATCAGCTTCTTGTGATTTATTTTAATCTGGCACAAAGTAGCAGCCTCGCTGAAGCAAAACACCCACATGTGCTCCATTGTATAATATGAATATAAGAAGATTAAATTATCCGGTCTGAGGAAACACACGCACATATGTATGTACACAAGTACACGCAGTCTGGGGGTTGGCTGAATGGAGCTGAGGGCAGAGCTTCCCCTCCGAAACACAGAGCTTGCACTTGTTAGTACTTAAACACCAAGGCAAATACCGCGTATACACCCATGCACAGGCACGTCTGTGAGGTGCTGCAGGACCTGTGTGCTCTGCATGCGAAGGTGAGGCAGGGTAACGTGGTGCATTTGCAGTTGTGTGCTTGGTTATCCACTTTGCTGGCAAAGACCGAACAGCAGCAACAGGTGGAACAAAAACAGGCCCTGCGCTAAACCTCACGTGCCAGCTGGGGGGGCAGGACCGGCCCGCGCGCCCCGCACAGAGCAGCGAGCGAACGAGCGCGCGCCCCTCCCCTCCCCTCGGGCCCAGCGCCGCCCC